TTGTTGGTTGTTTTAAGGTTTTTTTTTTGTTTGTTTTTTCCTCCTTTCTATTGGTCGGGGAGTGTCGACTTTGTGGGTGGGGGAGGGTAGCAGGGTTCTGAGCTTTCCTCCCTTCTAGTCTTCTTTTATGGCTACTTTCTTCTTCAGGCAGTTTGCCAGAGTCGCCTGTTTATCTTCGTGTCCCAGTTCTCGCAGGGACCTGCCGCTTTTCCTCCCTATTAACTTTATTTTTCATGGGAGGTCTTATTCGCAGCTTTTCCTCTCCACCATGTTGATCTGCCTTCTAGACCTAGAATCTTTGAGGAGACTCCATACTGTTTTCCAAAGGGGCTGGACCAGTTCCCACAATAGTGTGTGAAGGTTCCTTTCCCCCCACACCTTGCCAACACTGGTTGTCTCTAGTCTTTTTAATATGAGCCCCTCACAGGTGCGAGGTGGTGTCTCATTGTGGTTCTGATCTGCATCCCCTGATGATGTGTGATGGGGGCATTTTCCATGTGCCTGTGGCCATCTCCATCTTATTTGGAGAAGTGTCCACTTAGCTCCTCTCCCCATTTTTGATTGGGCTGTATTCTGGGTGTTGAGTTATTACATATAACTCATCTATCTTGGGTGTATGATATGCAAATTAGTTCTCCCACCCCATAGGGTGTCTTTACATTTAATGACAGTTTCCTTCCCTGGATGGAACTTGCAGTTTGATGTGGCTCCACTGGTCTCTCTTTGCATCTGCTTCCTTGGAGCACAGAAGACATCGAGGGCGGTGAGTCTACTATGTAGGACACAATATGGTGTTCACATCATTGTACATTTGTCTAAAACCCACAGCATGGACACCACCAAGAGTGACCCCAACGGGCCATGAGAGATGATGATGAGCAGGTTCATCATGTGGCAGACGGGCCGCTCTGGGCTTAGCATGTGATGCAGTTGAAGGGATTTTAGTAGGATTTAATTTTGAAAGTATTATTTCATGAGCACAGAAGAAAATTTTATACTCAAGAATTTATGAGCTAAATGAATAACACCCATAGTCCTCCAGTGAGCCAGGTCATCTGCTCAAAACCAGTTAGTAGTTTATCATTTCTCTTTCCAGAAAAATACATCTAGGTCTGTATCTAGTCACTAGTGTATACTATTGTATAAGTACAAGAGTGTAAGACACAGAGTGGGAGAAATGATTGCAAATCAGATCATGTATCTGATAAAGGACTTGTATCTTGAATTTGTATTATAAATGAAATCTTCCAACTCAACAATAAGAAAAGAAATGATCCAATGCAAACAATGGACAAAAGAATTCACCAATGAAGGATACAGATGCCAAATAACTGTGATGCTCAATATCATAGGTTATTAGGGAAAGACAGACTAAAAACAGTGATACCACTACATGCTTATTAGAAGGCAAAAGTCCCCCTAGAATGGGCAACACCAAGTGCTGACTGCAGCACAGGACCCCTCATCACTGCTGCCAGGATAGGATGACCCAGTCACCAGGGAGGATCTGACATTTCCTTTAAAGCCAAACATAGACCAACCATACAATCCAATGAGCACTGTCCCAGCTATTTACCCAACTAATCTGAAAACTTATATTTGCAAAACAACAAAGAAAACCAAACCCGAAAACCCTGCATGCAAGTAAATGTTTATAGCAGAACCCCCACTAAATGTGAGCTGCCCATAGTGACTTCCTTCCAAAGACAAAAATAACTAAAGAAAATAAAATAAAAGTGGATATTTAGGCACTTGTTGTGTTGATGGAGAACGACCTCAAAGGGAGGCCATTGTGCCTGAGCAGCTCTGCTCACAGGTGTCATCAGCAGAGGAAAGAACTGTCAGCCAGAGGCACAAAGGAATTATGGTTGGAACTTCATGTGGTGTCCTGGGTGGGATGTTGGAGCATGAAAACAGCAATAGGAAAATTAATGAAATCCAAATACAGTGCAGAGTTTAGTGAAAATGAATCAATATTGCTTCCTTAGCTGCTCAAATGCACTGTGGTCATGTGAGATGTTAACAATTTGGAAATGATGTGGGTTATAAAGGAACTCTACTACCTTTGCCACCTTTCTATAAATATAACAGCATTTTTTAAAATATTGTTTGAAATTAAATTTTAGATTAAAAATTTTAAAAAATAGCCCTCAACAAAGTCATAGGTTGTAGAAGGAAAATGATGAACTTCCCAGTTTTCCCAGGTATTGCTTTCAAGGAACTAGAGAGAGGGGTTCTGGGGAGAAAAGCTGGAAACCTCACACCCAGGGCAGGCTCCAGAGTCTCCTCTCCTCTGAGCCCTGCTTCTCTGACTCCTCACAGAGCATCTCACCCCAAGGACACCACCCTCCAGGACCCCCAACTCTGCTCACCTCAGCCCCCCCACCAACTGGTGGCTCCACCAGAATCCGTAACAGTGTGGCAGCGCCCCCATGTGGCCACAGGGCTGAGCACAGGAGACGAGAGCTGCCCTTTCTCCTGCTGGGCCAGGTCCCCCACCAGGGCTCCCTGGGGTCCCAGCAGCAGGACAGGTCCATTGTCACGTTAGGAGTCCTCCAATTGACACCGTGCTGAGTAACTATTGGTACAGGCCTCAGGGAAGAGCCAGGTGTCTAGGTCATAACAGTTGCTCCCCCAATTCTGAGTCCCCAAATTATAGTTTCCCTCAATCTCTTTGGATGGGAACTTAGACTCCAGAGTCCCTGTTATCTGTTCCTGTTTTCAGGGATGAAGGTCCCTCTTCCTTAGCATCAGCCCCAAATTCTCCATCTCTAGGGTGGGGAAGGGGCCAAGTAACAGACTCTCAGGCTCTGTTCTAGACCTTCTGAGTCTTCGTGAGTGTCCAGGTGACTCCCGTGCTCACTGAAGTGGGGCTCCCTGGGCTCTGTGTCTTCCCCATGTAAGGTCAGACTGTGCAGTCTGCTCTGGGGGGTGTCTTCTCAGATTTCTCATCACTGTGGAATCTGGGGTTCAATTCTGCTCCTTTCTCTTGCTTTGTCATCACTCTGGGTGACCCTTACATGCTCCAGACTTTAAATATCATTTATATCACATCACCTACCAGATATGTTTCTTACCTCTGACATTTCACCTGAGTCCCAGACTTGTCTGTCCAATTGCCATCATCACTTTCAATTCTAATAGATCTGATTCAAGTTTCCTAAAGTGAATGCCTAGGATCCCACATATGGGTCTTCTGGGGCCTTCCTCAAGTCACTGAGGCTCCACCTCTCTGCCTGCACAGCCTGAAACACTGACTGTGTTTCATCCTTGACCCCTTTCTCACAGCCCAGCAGTAGGAAACGCTGTAAATACCATGTCTACATATGCACAGTCCTGGGACCTGCACTGGTTTCCTCCATTTCTCTTCCCACTTCTCACCCTTCGATGCTGCACAGCAGCCAGACTGGGGCTACCAGAGAGAAGTCCCACAGGTATCTATCTGTTCAGAAGGTCTTGTCATCAAACATCCTCCCAACATCCTCAGGCCTGAATGACCTGGGTGCACACAGATCCCATCTCCTTGCCTCCTTGCTCATGTCAGTCATACAGTCACATTCCTGCTCAGGCATCTGCCCTGGAGATTGTCCTGAATGGACTAAAGTTCCCTGCACATCACATCCTTGTGGGCAACGTGTCCATCAAACTTCTTCTCAAAGGACACTTCAGTGAGACACACACTGATCATTCTGGGAAGAAAACCATCCTGTCCCCACACACTGACTCTGGTCACCTTCCCACATCCGTTACCCACTTCTAACCAGACACGCGTGGTTTACTATCTGATCCACTGTCACACAGTCCCCAGCCTCCCTTCCCTACTAGGACACACTCTCCACAGGCCGCAATTTGTGCATGTTTTTAGTTCATTGAGGTTTCCTAGTTGCATAAACAGTCAGTCACACATCTGGTGCAACAATTATCAGTTGTGTCATCAGTGTAGAGCACCTCCCTATTCTAGAGACAGTGTCTTTAGTAATGTGGTACATTACACAGGTGTTCTTCTTTTGAAAAGGGGTTCCTAGGTCCTTTTTTAAGGTTTATTTATTACTGCATAGAAGAACTGGGGTGTAGGTCAGCAGCACGGGGGTGGAGTTGATGAGAGGACTCACCAGAGACACAGTGGAGAGCAGAACAGGTGACTGACTGAAATACACTGCTAAGGGGAGCAGCGGGCCAACAGGAAAGGTCTGATGGACATATGTGGGTAGTACCCCGGTTGGAGATTGAACTTGGGGTGTAGAGGTGATAGCACTGAGACTTAACCCCTGGACCACCAGGGAGGCCCAGGTTTTTAGGCTATGCGTCCTGTTTTTCAGCCAACTATGAAGGTAACTGACTCCATCAACACAGGGGTCTCAATTAGCACCAACACTGGGGTTACTACACTGAAGCATCTTATGAGACCAGAGAAGAGTCAGGACACGATGTTCTAAAGGAATCCCAGGGGCCTCACCGGTGGCGCAGCGGTTGAGCGCTGGGTTGTGAAGCTGCCCGCAGCCTCTGCAGCGCCGGTTCGATCCCTGGCTGCTCCCCGGCCACCGGAGGAGGGTCCCACATAGCGCGCAGACCTCTCCTGCCCAGACCCGCTGCTCCCCTCAGCAGTGTACTTTGGTCCTTCTGCCTGCTCTGCTCCCCGCTCTGGCTCTAGTGAATTCTTTCACTCTCCCGTGTTTCTGACTGTACCCAGTGCTTGTATAAATAAATAAAAAAATAAATCTTTAAAAAAAAAAGAAGGAATCCCAAAGTCTGGACCACTGGGGAGAAGTTTCCAGAGCTGTGACTGGAAACTTAGGGCAAGACCAGGAAATACGAAGAAAGGAGATGACAGGGGACTAGACCAACAACCTCCTAGGTCTGCCTTCAGCAGGGACCATTCCCTGTGCCAGAATTATCAAGGTGAACAACTTGTGATTCATTTTCAAAAATGCTTTACAAAGAGTGTTAGCAATCAGCTCCAGACTGGGCAATACAAGTGTGTGGGTGGTGTTTCCCATTACCAGGCAGGGCATGTGCTACCTCAGGCCTGAAAGCCCCAGTGGACATGATCCCCCCACTCCCTTCCCTACCTGAGTGTTTCTTCCTCCACATCACAGCTGCAGCCACCGCAGCTCCAGTGAGCACAGCTCCAAGGAGAACCAGGCCAGCAATGACGCCTGTGGTGGGGTCGGTGGAGTCAGTAGGGACGGTGGGCTGAGGAGGGGGCACTGGAAGGGAAGGGAAGGAAAGGTGAGACCCTGAGCCCCAGGCCTCCATCTGATGCTCTGAAGGTCTCCAGAAGGGCTCCTGATGCCCCTGAGAAGCACTGTACCCACGTTCCCTCCTTACCCCAAGTCAGGACTTTGGGCTCCAGCAGCCCCTCATGCTGCACATGACACGTGTATCTCTGCTCCTCTCCAGAAGGTACCTCCACAGCCGCCCATTTCTGGAAGGTTCGGTCCCCTCCAGGCCTGGTGTCCACCAGCTCCGTGTCCTGGGTCAGGCCTATTCCATCTCGCTGCCAGGTCAGGGTGATGTCGGCAGGGTAGAAGCCCAGGGCCCAGCACCTCAGGGTGACCTTCTGGTCAGAGGTGGGGTGGTGGGTCACATGCGTCTTTGGGGCCTCTGAGGAGAGGGTAAAAACTTTCACAGTCAGGGTTTTTCTCTCATGGACCCTGAAAAACCCTCCTGTGACCATCCACAGAATGGACAGGGCACTGGGTTTGGAAAGAGGAAGCACAAAATCTAGAAACCAGCCTGGTCTGGGGAGTCTGGGATAATCTCTATTCCCTAGAAAGTTCTAGAATTAGGGCGACAGCTCTGGATAGGAGGACACAATTCTCTAAGCAGGAGAGCACCTAAATTTGCTCCTGACCTGGGGACTCAGAAAAGCAGAGTGAGATCAGAAAAATGTCCTCCGACCAATCACAAGACCCTGAAGGAAAAACTTAGGGTTCCCAAGAGGGCTGCCGCCTCACAAGGATCCCATGAAGGGTGCCTGATTCCAGGGCTGGTCTCCCCTCAGGCTCAGGAGACACTGGATTCCTTAACTGTTCTGAGGAAAAGTGGGGTGCTCTGGGAAGTCAGGAAACCCAGGGGGCTCCTCCTCCCCTGACCAGAGAGGGGGCGCTGCTGTGACCCTGACTCCACCCTCCCCGCGGTGCCAGCCTGAGGGGGTGGGGAGACCTCGCAGCCCCTCTTACCTGAGCGCTGCAGCGTCTCCTTCCCGATCTCCAGGTACCTGCGCAGCGACTCCACGCACGTGTCCTCCAGGTAGTTCCTGACGCGCTCAACAGCCCCAGTCACCTCCAACTTGCGCCGGGAGATCTGAGCGGCCGTGTCCGCCGCGGTCCAGGAGCGCAGGTCCCGGTTCAGGGCCAGGTAATCTGCGCCGTCGTAGGCGGACTGACTGTACCCGCGGAGGAGGCGCCCGTCGGGCCCCACGTCGCAGCCAAACATATTCTGGAAGGTGTGAGAGCCTGTCCCCGCCCCGTCACCCCGCGGTCACCCCGCGGTCACCCCGCCCGCCCCCGCCGGGAATGAACCGAAACCGACGCGGGAACCTCGCGGGGAACGTCCCGGGGCTCGTCCCGGGTCGAGGGTCCGGCGGGTCCCCCTGCCTCGGGGGACGCTCGGGCCCGGGGTCTGGGGTCCCCGGCCGCCCGCGGGGGTGGGGTCGTGAGCGCCCCGGGCCGCCCCGCTCACCGGCTGCGCTCTGGTTGTAGTAGCCGCTCAGGGTGAGCAGGTTGAGGCGGAACGTCTGCGCGTTGCCCTTCGCGGTCCGCGTCTCCCCCTCCCAGTACCCCGGGTCCTCCTGCTCCATCCAGGGCGCCCGCGGCTCCATCCTCGGCTCCGCCGCGTCGCTGTCGAAGCGCGCGAACTGCGTGTCGTCCACGTAGCCCACGGCGATGAAGCGGGGCTCCCCGAGGCCGGGCCGGGACATCGCGGTGAAGAAATACCTCAGGGAGTGGGAGCCTGGGGGCGGGATGGAGACCTGGGCTGACCCTTCTCCCAGCGGGTCCCATGGAGTTGGGGCGGGAGGGCAGGAGGTGAGGGGGCTCCTGAGATTGAAATGGGGCAGCGGAGAAGGCTGGAGACTCAGAGGGGCAAGAGGAGGCTGGAGGCTGGGAGAGACAGAAAAGGGTCAGGACAGGGTGGGGTTAAGGGGGACAACAGAGTCAGCAGTGGCAGAGAGGAGGCTTTCCAGGGGTCCTGCGCCCCCTCCCCCTCCTGCCTGAGTTCCTCTAGTCCCCCTGCCTCAGTGGCCTGTCCCTCCTGAGCCTGCACTCACCTGCCCAGGTCTCTGTCAGGGCCAGGGTCCCTGAGAGCAGCAGGAGGGTTGGGGGCCTCATGACTGGGTGCTCCTGAGGTCTGGGGAGCCTCTGAGTCCACACTGGTGGCAGCTGTGAGATTGACTGGCTGCTCTGGAGACCTCCAGGCATGGGGAAGTGAGAACTGCGGTGAGTCACCAGTGTCCAGGAAGGAGGACCCAACACAGGTTGTGAAAGAGAGAAGTGAAAGTGGGAAGATGGGGGAATCCCCAACAGTCACCTTCCCTGGCCCAGACACAGCCCTGGCTGCTGACACCCTGAGAACCACACCTGGCACCTGGGACTTTGTGGCTCCCTCCTCTCCTGCACCAAGACCTTTGTCACACTGTTGCCTCCCTGAGTCCAGGCCAGGGACTGGGTCAGCGATTTTCAAGAGTTTTTGTTTCAGGATGTCTGCACAGTTTTACAAATTTGAGAGGACCCCAGTATAATTTTAGGAGGCTATAGCTCTCAGTATTTACTACATGAGGAATAAAAACAACTTAAAGATATTTTAACTAATATAGAATATTATTGATAACCCAATGTGTGTTCTAAGTGTCTTAATGAAATAAAGATATTTAATGAAAATAATCAGGATCATGTGTGAATCTTTTACAGCTTACATTTTTGCTTACAAATTATTTTTCTTCTCTGTCTCGCTAGAAAAATGTTGGATTGTCCTATTTTCTCCTGCATTTACTCTTTGTTTTCATTGGCCAAAGAAAAGCTATACAGCCTTTCTGTTTTATGTATCAAAGATCCCCAAAGATAAGTAAGTGGCTACTGGAAGTTGTCAAGCTTATAGCAATGGGACACAATTTTTCACTATCTGGTTTTCACTTGGAGCTTGTACTTTATCAAGGCAGATAATTACTATCATTTATCAACTGTCAGTTGATTTTCTTAAAGGGACAGCTCACATTCATTTTCTAGAAAGTGTGTACAGGTTAACAAAAATTAATAATGATAGTTTTTGTCATTCATTTCAAGTAAAGTTGGTAGTACCCCCGCCCCAGCAAAAAATAAAGGTCTAATTCACCTCATGCAAATTAGTTTCCTTGGGACATAGCACTTTGGATTGTGGCAGAAGTGACTGATATGTGCTCTATGTCATCAGAAACTGGGTTTCCTCTGTCTCCAGAGTCTTTCTCTCAGGCTTGAGGAGATGCTCCCTGCTTTCCTGAGCCTCCCTGACCAGGACCCCACAGCTCTTCACACTGGACAGGGTGGTCTCTGTCCATGTCCCTGCTCCCTCCCTCCTGCTCCCTCCTGTGCAGCCCTTCTCCTCTGGGCTCAGGTGCTGGACCTGCTTGTGGAACCCTGACAATGATGGGTCATTTCAAAACTTGAAGCCTCATTTCAGTGCTTTTCTGTTCCTCATTGTTAACAACAGCTGACAGTGTTTGTCAATATCATCTGGTCTCAAAATGCTTTGTTTGCGAATGGCGTTATTTTATCTTTTTGGATTGCTGAACAATATTCCAAGTGTATATTATATATATCACATCTTCTGATCCAGTCATCTATTTTTGGGCATTTTGGGTTGTCTCCAGGTTTTACCTGTTGTAAATAGTGCTGCAATAAACATAGGGGTACAGGTGTTCTTTTTGAATCAATGTTTCTGTGTCCTTTGGGTAGATCCCTAGGAGTGGAATTGCCAGGTCATATGGTACCTTCATTTTCAGTAGACTGAGGAACCTCCAGACAGCTTTCTATAGTGGTTCAACCAGTCTGCACTCCCACCAGCAATGTAGGAGAGTTCCTACAGTTCTTATACCACATCCTCACCAACATTTGTTGTTGCTTGTTTTTTTTGATATGTGCCATTCTTACTGGTGTAAGGTGGTATCTGAATGTGGTTTTGATTTGCACTTCCCTGATTATAAGGGATGTTGAACATTTTTTCATGTGCCTGTTGGCCATTTGCGTTTCCTCTTTGGGGAAATGTCTTAAGTTCTTTTGCCCATTTCTTGACTGGATTGTTTATTTTGTTTTTGTTGAGTCTTTGTGTGAGTTCTTTGTATATCTTTGTGATCAGCCCCTTGTCAGTTGAATAGAGTGCAAAGATATTTTCCCAATCAGTGGAATGCCTCTCTGTTTTGGTTAATGTCTCTTTTGCTATACAGAAGCTTTCAGTTTGATTAATCCCAGGTGTTTATCTTTTCCTTGACTATCTTTGCTTTGGGTGATGAATCTTTAAAGATGTTTCTGAGATATATGTCTTGTAGTGTTTTACCTATATTTTCTTCTATATATTTTATGGTTTCAGGTCTTATGTCCAGTTCTCTTATCCATCTTGAGTTAATTTTTGTGCCTGGTGAGAGGTAGTGGTTTAGTTTCATTTTTTTGCATGTGGTGGTCCCAGCACTTTTTATTGAATAAACTGTCTATGTTCTATTGCATGGTCTTTGCTCCTTTGTCAAAGATCAGTTGTCCATATAAGTGTGATTTTATTTCTGGGCTCTCTATTCAGTTCTATTCGTCTGTATGTCTGTTTTTGTTCCAATACCAAACTGTTTTAATTATTATGGCTTTGTAGCATAGCTTGAAGTTTGGAAGTGTGATACCTCCTTTCTCCTTTGTTTTCATCAGTAGGGCTTTGGCTATTTGTGGTTTTTTGTTGCTCAGTGTGAATTTAATCAGTATTTGTTCTATTTCTTTGAAGAATGTCATTGAGATTTTTATTGGAATAGATTTGAATCTGTATATTGCTTTTGGGAGGATGGCCATTTAAAAATGTTAATTCTTCCAATTCATGAGCAGGGGATGTCTTTCTATTTCTTTGTGTCTTCTTCTATTTCTTTTAACAGTGTTTTTTTGTTTTTTTGTTTTTTTTTTTTTGTTTTATAGGTCTTTCACCTCTTTTGAATGTGGATGGAGCTAGAAGGAATAATGCTCAGTGAAATAAGCCAGAAGGAAAAAGAAAAATATTGGATAGTTTCACTTATAGCAGGAATATAGGGGAACCAAATAAGACATCAGTACAAAAAAATAGTAACAGTACAAAATACAACAAAGCAGGGCCTCCCCTGGTGGCGCAGGTAGTTGAGCGCCATGCTATGAAGTTGTCTGCAGCCTCTGCCACACCAGTTCAATCCTGGCCAGTCGGCGAGGGTCCCACATGGAGTGGCAGACCTCTCCTGTCTCACCCGCTGCTCCCCTCAGCAGTGTATTTCATCAGTCTTCCTGTTTTGTTCCCCACTCTGTCTCTGGTGAATCCTCTCACCCTCCCTCATATCTGGCCTGTACCCCAGTTCTTGTATAAATAAATAAATAAATCTTAAAAAAAAACACAACAAAGCAAAGACAGACAATTATAAATCAGAGACATACTTCAGGGGAGGAGGCAGAGGAGGGAGTTGGGGAGGGAGGAGCACAGGGGACTGTGGTGATCGTGCACAGGTGCATTGGTGAAGGAAACTCTATGGGGACTACACCTAAGGTAGTAGGGGGAAGCAAATACCGTTTAAAAATCAACAAAGACATAAAAATATTTAAAAAATAATTAAAAATAAAAAAATAATAAAATATGCTTTGTAACATTTTGTATTTTTATAGTGAACACAGATTATATCCTAAGAACTGCACAATACATATGTGTGTATACACACACAAACACACAGACATCGCAGACAGAATAAAGCAGGTCTCCCTAAATTTTGAAGGGATGGCAGGTGTTTGTCCTCAGACTCAGCACAGAGCTGAAGGGCTGGGCTCCATATCTGCTCTGGACGGGGCCCTCACAGCCCTTCCTCCCTCTTCAGGGCTGTTCTCGTGGGGTCCACGCAGAGTATCCTCCTTCTCTTCTGGGTGAGGGCATTTATTACTATATTGTCAGTTCTAATGCTTTTAAGAAGATGGTTTTGTGTCCACATGTATCTCATATTTTTAGCTCTTTTTGGTGGGAAGGTGTATCATCCACCTAGCCCACCTGGTCAGGTGGAAATTCTAAGGCAAAATCATTCAATGACAAGATGGCGGGTCTTAGAGTAGAGAGAGGCTCAAAGCCTGAGAACACGTGACTGAGGGGGATCTGCCAAGGGTTTGATAGTGTCAGGGATTGTTGTGTAATTTATTTTTGATAATAAATGATTTTGATAATAACTATTATTTCTTATTCACACACACAGGGGATTCATAAATACTCAAGAACATACACAAATATGTAAGTCACATCATCCTTAGTCAACCAAGTCCCCTCTACTGTGAACCCACTGCAGTCAGCAACTTCTCATTTCTCTTCCCAGAAAAGTCTATATATGCATTGATGTGAGTATTAGGTCTGTAAAACAGACCAGGAGAAAATATTTGCAAAATATGACTCTAATATAATACATGCTTTAGAATATGCATAGAACCCTTAAAATTCAACAAGGAACAGATAACTTTTTAAAGTTGAGCAAAACTGAACAAATTCCAAGGAAGCTATATTAATGGCAACTAGGCATATGTACAGAAACTCAACATCATATGTTGAAAGACATATATAAACACAAGTGCAAATTAAAGTAACAAGGACATGCTATATACACATATTATATGGCCTAAATCCAAATTCTAGTAGTGCAGCCCCTATTTATCCATGTGGGATGTATTCCAAGACCCCCAGTGGATACCAGAACCACCAGTAGTATGGAGACCTCTATACACGAAGATTTCTCTGCACATACATATATATGATAAATTTATTTTATAAAAAATTAGGCACAGGGGCCTCCCTGTTGGTGCAAGGGGTTAAGACATGGCCTATGAGGCTGTCTGCACGAGTTCTATCCCCCTGGCCAGGGAGCTATCCACATGGCGCTGCAGACCTCTCCTGTCTCTCCCGCTGCTCCCCTCAGCAGTATACTTCAATCAGTCTGCCTATTCTGCTCCCCACTCTGTCTCTGGTGAATCCTCTCACCCCCAACACCTCTGGCCTTTACCCCAGCTCTTGTATGCATAAATATGATGAATAACACAGTATGATGAATAACAATAACTTTAAAACAGGATTTAATAACTTTAAATCAGGCCTGCCTGGTGGCACAAGGGGTTAA